GCCGCCGCCGCCGCCGCCGCCGTCCGCCGGGCGGGCGGCCTGCCTGCCGACGAAGGTCGCGGTCGCCGCGGCCGCGGCCGCCGCCGCCGCCGCCGCCGCGGCTGGCATTGGCGGCTCGTGTGCAGCGAGCCGCGCCGGCGTCTCCCTAAGGATTCCTTAGGATTTCCTAGGAATCCTAGGAATTCCTAAGGATTCCCAGGAAGGAATTCCCAAGGATTCCTAGGAATTCCTAAGGATTCCTAGGAATTCCTAGGCAATGGTCGGGTCTTCGAGCAGGGGATCGGCTGCAGAGTCGAGTTTTCCCTAGAGGAGATGTTCCCGTGGGATCCGCTGACAAGACGTTTGTGATGCCCCGTGGACCTCCGAGCACTCGACGTGCCTCTTGCACATTCGGCGGGCAGGTCAATCTTGGACTACAGTCGGGGCGTTGACCTAAGGAACCCTAAATAAGGAACGAGGCCCCCATTTTCCATAAGTTGAACTTCGATTGCAGATCGAAAACCTAAGGAAAACCTAAGGCAAGCTGCGAAACAATTAAGGAACACGGAGCCCCTCCCCAATGAAAAGGGTTCCTTCTTCAGGGCCCCGACTGTACATCAATTCTGTAGTCGATCCCCTACTCGAATTCTCGGACCAGGCAAGGGAGCCTCGGCCTCCCAGACTGGGCCCGAGTAGATGGTCTTGGAGGATCGCGGCGCACCGCCGATGCCTCGGCGATGCGGCTCGCTGTGGAGCCCGACTCTCTCCCTGCCGACGGCGCCAGTACCTCGCCGGCGTCGCCGGTGCATCCCCGATGCACCGACGATGCGTTGACGACGCGGCGCGATCCTCCATCAAGGGCATTAAAAACGCCCCTACCCTGGTTTACGAGGCGCTGTGCGCTGAAACTCCTGTGGGCTGACAGGGTAAGCCCTGCGTGATGTGCCGCGTCCTGGCGGTTCTAGGCTTTGGGGGGTCCCAGGAGGTTTACAGACCACGCACCTGTAACCCAGGGTAGTGTGGTTTTTTCATCCCTCAACTCCAATCTCATCTGCTCGGACCCCATTTTGGGAGGCCTCCTGCACGGAGCACAGCTGTTCGACCCCTCAGAGCCGACAAATCTTGACCCGTAGCGTGTTGGAGGAAGGCCTGAAGGGAGTCCAAACATTACTGTTCTCGTACGTGTCGCGTCGCCGCCGCTGCCATCGCCGCCGTTGCCGCCGGCCGTCGTCGCCGCAGCGGTCGCCGCCCGGGTCGATGGCGCCCGTGTCCCTGCCAGGCTTCCGCGCGGCGGCAGAGGGACAGGGTTGCGATTGTGCGGTTGTGTGCTGCTTTGGCTCTTGTCGTTGGATGGTTTGCGGCTTCCCTGGGGTGCCTTGCTTCGGACGGGGCTAGGACGAGGACAATCAGGAGGGGAAGAAACACACAGACACAATTATTCGTCGATTCCCAGAAAGTATGGGAAAATATGGGAAGTGGGGGGAAGACAGAAACCCAGAAAATATGGGAAAATATCGGGAATCCTTTTATTTGTGTGTATTTATTGAATCGCTTCGCTCATTCCGCCGGCCCGTGATATGGCATCGCTGGTTTTTGTCTGTGTGTTCGTTGCCCATGTTGCGCTCTTGGGGGCGGGTGTCGTTCGGACGCGTTGCGTGGGGAGTTTTGATGGTGAAGCAGTTCCCTGGGGGTCGTCTCTCGATGGGGCGAAATAGAGTCGTCGTCAAGATGCTTCTTTGGGGGGCCTCTTGGGGTCTGTTGAGAGGCCGTTCGGGGGCGCCTGGGAGACATGTTTGAAGCCTTCTGGGGCTTCTTTTGGGCCTCCTGGGAGTCTCCTGGGGCCTCTTGGCGACATCTTGGGGCCTCTTGGAGGCCTCTTGGGGCCTCTTTGGGACCTCCTGGGCGCCTTCTGGGACGGAGGGCTCCATTTTTGAGTTCTCGGTATCCCTCCTGAGTCCCTCTTGGGCCCGTCTTGGGGCCTCTTGGTCCGTCTTGGGCGGCACTTGGGCCGTCTTGAGGGCTCTCTTGGGTCGTTTCGGCGCCGTCTTGGGAGCTTCGTGGGCCGTCTTGGAGCGGTCTTGGGGGCCTCTTGGGCCGTCTTGGAGCGTCCGGAAGCCGAAAAAGCCAGAACACAAAAAACATCGAACAAACCAATGAAAATCAACGATTTTGGCCTCTTGGGGCTCTCTTCGGAGGCCTCTTGGAAGGCTCTTGGGGCGTCTTGGAGGCCTCTTGGGCTGTCTTGGGGGCCTTTTGGGCCGTCTTGGGGTCATCTTCGGCGTCTTCGAGCGCTCTTTGGGCGTCTCGGGGGCCTCTTGGGCAGTCTTGGGGGCCTCTTGGGGCACTCTGAGCGCGCTCTGGGGAGCCTGAGAGGCCGCACCCAGAAGGAAAACCATCTCTGAGTAGACTTGGTCGGGCGGCGACCGGGCGTTGGTCGGGGTACTTTTCGCCGGGGGACCCCCAGGGGCCGCCCCGCGCGCGCGAACTAGAAATACTGTTAATACTGTTAACCAGTTACCGGAGATCTTAGCACGCCCTGGCCCGTTGGGCCGGCGAATTTGTGTGTCCTGGGGCCCCTTCAGACAAAGCCGTTCTAGAGCGTTCCGGAACGCTTTCAGAGCATTCCGGCACGCTCTGAGAAGGCTGCGACGCCCGATACATCCTCCGGAGCCGCCAGATCTCAAAGATGATCGACGTACCCTCTCCCGACTTTGTCCTCGTCCTAGCTTCGACCTACTGCTTCGGACGAGGAGAGGCGCCGATGTTGCTACCCTGGCCTCGGTGCCCACCCTCTCGGGCCTCCTGGCGAGGCCCTCGTCGCCACTGCTGGGAGATCGCCACCCCCAGGAGAGAGGTCCAGGGACTGGCGGTATTGGTACCTCTCTTGCTTTCCCCGCAGCGAGCGCCCCGTGGCGCGAGAGCCGAGCCTCGAGGCCTCCGCTGGCGCGCACCGGACGAGGGGGGTTCGGCAGCACCCAGACATGTCGAGGCCACGTGTGCGCCGTGTATCAGAGACCCGAATCATCAGGGGTAACTCGGGTCAGGGCTAACTCGGGTTCAATTTTCGGGAATCCGAGCCCGAGTTGCCCCGGGCCCGAGTTACCCCGGATAACTCGGGCGTCCAGAGCCCCAAATCATCAGGGATAATTCGGGTCAGGGCTAACTCGGGTTCGTTTTTCCGGGAATCCAAACCCGAGTTACCCGGGGCCCGAGTTACGCCGGATAACTCGGGCGCCCAAGTATCCACGGAGCCCACGCTCCAACCGAAGCATGTGATATACATTCGTCGAGTCAAGTCCTCGTCGCGGGGCCCATGGAGGCACCTCGCTCCGCAGGCGGAGGCGGGGGGGCGTGAGGCACTGCGGCAGCATAGCGCGAAGGCAAGAGACACATCGGCGGATGGGGCAGTCTTGAAACACGGTTTTTGTACATGAGGCTTTGCGCACGAAAGTAAGACATTCATTTTCCAACCCCTGCCAAGGGAAACGTTCCCGGCTGCGGATGACTGCCGTGAGGTTCGTGCCGTGCTCTCGAGGTATCAGGTCGAGGCCAGTTCGGGGAGGCCACCTTTACGGTACAAGCACGAATCAGACTAATAGTGTCCTTCGTGTTTGTTGGATGTTCTTGTACATCCTGGGGGGGTACCCTTGGATGTTCTGTGTGCTTTGGCCAACCAAGAGTCTCATGTTCTTGAGGGATAATCTTCTGGCCTGGGTCCGGCTGTGTGCTGTAAGATGCTGTGCCACGTGTTGTGGTCGGGCGCGGGCCTCCAAGAGGGCCTTTCATACTACGAGTAGAAGCCGCTCTGCGGTTGTTCGGGGCTTTCGGTGTATCTATAGATGTATACACATACATACATATATGCACGTATTTGTGTATGTATGTAATTGTCTCTATATGTTTACATCGATGTATGTGTAAATGTAGAGGTATATGTGTACATAGGTGTATATGTATATGTACATGCATCTGTACATGTACATTTACATGTATATTCGTACACATATGTAAATGTTTAGGCGCATGTAAATATATGCATATGTATCTGTATACGTATCTGTATTAGTACATGTCTAGCTGTGTGTGTGCATATGTATATGATTATATAGTGGTACATGATTTTAAACCTAGATGTATGCATATGCATAGGTATGTATGCATATTCATGCATGTGCTTATAGTTGTATAGGTATATATACCTGTATATGTATAGGCATACGCACGAGTATGTGTTTATGATGTATATGTTTCTGCATAATCATAAGTATATGTGTAGGTATCTGTCATTGTATATGCATCTGTGCATGCATCTGCAACTTCATCTATATATATATGTGCAGGCATATAGATATGTTTATGCACGGTATATGTATGCATATGTATGTGTACACGTCAATGTACATGTATACGTGAACCTATATTCGTATGTATTTTATTTACACTTGTATATGTTTTGTAGTTGTATACGTATTCGTATGCGTGCATGCAGTCGTATATATAACATGTGAGGTAGACGTACATATACATATGCATATGCATATGTGTATGCATATGTGTATGCATATGGGCGTGCTTATGTATGTGTATGCGTATCTGTATGTGCATGTACATGTTGTTGTGTATACCTTTATTTAGATATACAGGCATATGTTTATGCATATCTGTATGTATATGCGTACGTATAGGTATTTGTATATGTACATGTATATGTATATGTATATGTATATGTATTTGTATATGTGTATGTATATGTATTTGTATATGTATATGTACATGTATATGTATATGTATATGTATATGCATATGTATAGTTATAGTCTTTGTACATGCCCATGTATACGTATATGCGTTTGTATAGGGGTATGTATGTGTATTGGTATAACTATGTGTATTTATATATATATATATATTATACATATGTCAAGCCATATGTACATTCACATGTGTGTGGTATGTGTATATGTATTTGTATGCATGTATGCTTATACCCAAACGTATTTATATACTGTATTCATACACACATTAAGCATCATAAGGGGCGCGCGCGGGGGGCGGTGTTGCGGCGGGTGAGGATGAGGAGGATGAGGATCAACAGGGCGAAGCTCGTGATGCGGGGGGATCAGGAGAGTGAGCATCACGCGGCTCAGGAGCAGGCGAGCGTCACGCACCTGTTGCGCTCTCTGGAAATGGTCCCTGGCGGGGCCTTGCTCTCTCACGCGCCGGGGGGTCGACTTTGCGAGGATGTCTCGAGCGAGAGCGCCACATTTGGACACGCCCAGCGCGCCCAGTGCGCCTGGTGCGCTCACCAGAAATTGTCCCTTGGGGCGCGGTGGGGCATGACTTTCTCACGCGCTGGGGGCTAGGATGGCCTAAATTCCACAGAAACGCCCTCAAATCAATGTGTCTCTCTGCGTCCCAGATGTCAGCGCCAACTGGGGCCAGTCAGTCCGCTCCGATCCCGATGCGTCGCCGACGTCGCCGATGCGTCGCCGGCATTACCGGCGATGCATCGGCGATGCGGCGCGATCCTCCGGCCCCGCCGCCATCGACCCCATCTGGGAGCCTCCCAGATGGGGTCCCCACAGAGGGAGAGGCATCCACTGGGAGGCCTCTCCTGGAAGCCTCGCGGTGGGGGGCCTCCCTCTGGGAGGCCTCCGGTGGGAGCCCCTGCCCCTCTGGAGTGGAGGCCTCCCCCTGGGGGGAGGCCTCCTGGGCCTCCGCCGGAGCGCAGGTGGCGGCGGTCGGCGCCCACGGGGGTCCGTCGGCCCGCCTCGAGCCCCTACAGCTGCCCCTGGCGTGGGAGCGGGCTGCCCGTCGCCGCCCACCAAACCACCGCAACGCAACCCGAGGGCCCCGATTTGCCGTTCATCTCCAGTGGGGGATGGGGCCTCGGAACATATGAAACATACACACACACGAGGCCCGTGCCCCCCCCCACCCGACATTCGGGTCTTCGGGTCGGGTGCGGGCGGTCTGGCAGGTAGTCCGCCCTCGAGCTTCACCTTCTGGGCCTGCCGCACACACAGGAGGTGCCGCCGAGACCGCGGCCGCGGCGGTCGCCGAGAACGCCTTGGCGGCCTCGACGGCGGCCACCGCTGCGGCCACGCTGGTGGCGGCCGCTGCGCGGCGTCTGCCGCCCAGAAGGCGCGGAACGTGGCGGTCGATCGTCGCCACCCCAACATGCTAATGCTATGTGTGCGTCGCTCCCCCCCAGGGGCGACGCACGCGCGGAGAGAGCTGCGCGCCCAGGAATCTTACAGCGTAAGCTCGGTGGCGGGCGCATCCTGGCCATGCCGCTCGGGGAACGAGAGCCTGCAAGATGTTTGTGCCAGATGTTCGAGTCGGACGCACGCCTCCGACGAGGACACATAGTCTTGGTGGCCCCAGAAACGGCAGGGCCGCTTTGTCACCGTCTTCGAAGTAGTGTCTCTTGAACATGGAAGCAGTGTCAAGCGGCCACTGGAAACGGCCAACACAATGCTTCATAATTGGAAACGGAACCAGAGCCGGCAAACAACATCGGCGACGGCACCGGGAAAAATCAGTGGCGCCGGAGCTGGCAACACAAACGGCAAATCGGAACCGGTTAAAACAAACAGCCCTGTCTCGAGGAAAAACAAACGCCATAAACATAAACTTTAGGTGGCGCCCCGCGCGGACTTCTTGGATCCGCGCTGGGCTCCCCCAGCGGCGCCTCCGGCGCCGCCCCTGGCGCGCTCCGCGCGCCAGGGAGCGGGGTCCAGCGCAGATCCAAGAAATCCGCGCGGAGCGCCAAAAGTTTATGATTCCGTCGTTTCTCCTTCTTCTATGCTGTCGTTTCCAGGGCCCGCTGGAGGTATGTCCCTGTGCGTCCCCTTCGAGGGTGCGCGGCGGCGGCGGCGAGGGCGGCGGCGGCGGCGAGGGCGGCCGCTGCGGGCCGCGCGGAGCGGGCCTGGGGTTCGGGAGCTGCCGGGCGGGCGGCGGCGGGGTTCTGCGCCGTGGCTCCTCGGCCTGTCCTCGGGAGGATCGAAGTGGGTATGACAAGAACGGGTACGATGCCCAGCAGCAGTGCCATTACATTCTGGCGGCCTCTGTCGGTTTTGGACAGCATCTGTTGGTACCCATGTTCTCCGTACAGTGCCGTTCTTAAGACATGCTCCGCGTGCGGATCATGTATCAAGCATGCAGGGATTTAGTATTACAAGCAACGAGGAGTTCATGCATATATTTATTCATAAATTTATCATTTATTAAAAATCCGAGATTTTTCAAACATCCTATGTATTAAAAACTGCCCTGTATCCATTTCGGGCGTCCAACTGTCTAGGGGTGGCGCTGGTTCGGGCTGGTGCCGTCCCCAAGGATGGGGTCCCAACCAACTGTTCGAAGGGTTGAGGTTCGAAGTGGTCGGGCGCTTTCGGTCAGAGGAGGAAGAGGTACCCATACCGCTACCCTTCCCTCGTTTTCCTCTTTCGGGCCTCCTGGGCGGCCCTCGTTGCCACTGCTGGATTCGCCCAACTTTTAGGCAGGACGCACCCCGGGAGAGGTCTGGGGAGTAGCGGTATCGTTACGTTTTGGTTTCCCCGTGAGGTTCGAAGTTGTCGGACGTTTTCCAGGAGGTTTCCCAGTATCGGGCCTCCCAGCAGCTGCGCCTCGCCTCACTCTTCTCTTTCTATCATCGTCTGTCATCAGAAATCAGCCCAGCTCGTGGCTATCTTCTCGTCTGAAGACGATCCTTCTGCCGACCCATCTACATCTCCCTTTCGCTTCTCTTTTGTGAAGGGGCACGTCGGCCGGGCAGAATGGAAGACAGCGTCCAGCTCATGAGCTTATCATTCTTTCTCTAATCCAGGCGTGCCATTACAAAAGACAAAAAGGAAGAGAAAGCATGCCTGGGAGAAGATATTGATACTCTGCTGGATGACGATCAGAACTGAAAGCGAGGCCTCCCAGTTGAAGGTCTCCCTACTGCGATGCTTAGATTGGAGTCCTCCCAGTTGAGGCATCCCACTGGCGCCCACTGGGAGGCCTTCCTGGGGACCCCATCTGGGAGGAGATGGGGTCCGAGCAGATGGGGTCAGAGGATCGCGTCGCATCGCCGATGCACCGACGGCGCCGACGCAACGGCGATGTACCGCCAGTGCACTGGCGATGCGGCGGGACCATCCGACCCCACCTGCTCGGACGCCAGTCGTCGGGCACCGCTCGAAGTGCCCCTGGCCCGAGGTGCCCCCAGGATTTCGAAGGAGGCCCCCACGGCCTCCAGAGCACCCCTCACGAGGCCCGGGGGGCCCCACGGGCTCCAAAATGGAGCGGCATGCGGGGGGCATCTTGGGCCAGGGGCACCTCGACCACCCCCCGAATCTGGGTGCCTCCACCGATCCAGGTGTCCGCCTACATCGCCTCGCTCCGCAACAGCGTCGCGGGCGTCGAGCTCATCTCGCCGCCGCCCCACCACGACATCTACGGCATCGAGGCGACGGCTGCGGCCCGCGCGCGAGGAGGCGAAGGCGGAGGAGGGGGGGAGGCAGAGGAGCAAGAGCGCATGATAATGATGCGCTCCAGGACTTTTCCAGGCTTTCCCGGATTTCCCACTTCTTCTGATGCTCCGTGCCGACTGCGCCGCTAGATATCCAGGGAATCCTGGAACGCACCCTGAGCCAATCTCATCATGACATCCTTCTCGCCCTGGGAAGGGAGAGCAGAGGGATGTCGTGGGCAGGTCCTGGCCCTCGCGCTCGCTGCCAGCTGCCGAGCCACAGCAGGCCATGCCACGCCTCAGGGTTGCCCATTCTGCACTCCACCTCCGGCGGCCGGTAAGGTATGGGTCGGAAGCGGGGGTCTTCATTCAGGATGGGACAACAACATGCACATACACAATTAACTTTCGACTCTCCAGATCTGTGGGAACATATGGGAAATGTGTGTGTGCGGGGAAGACGAAAACCCATAACACATGGAAACATATGGGGAATTCCTAGATTTGTGTGCATTTGTTCCCTTGCACAGGGTGTCCAGAGTTTTGACCACTTTATTTCGACGTCGTCGCACCGCCCTCACCCCAGCGTTGCCCAGCAGCGTTGATCGCCCTGCCACGCTCCCCCCCTGCCCCCCCCCTCCCCAGCATCCCAGCGCACCGCCCCCTTCCGCCACGACAGCTTTCTTTCGGCCTTGCCGCACGGTCCCCCCCGTCGCACCGCCCTCACCCCCCCCTACCGCGCCTGCCCCCAGCAGCCCAGCGCACCGCCCCCCCTCCCGCCGCGACCACTGCATGTCGGCGCCGTCGCACCGCACTCGCCCCTTCGCCTCTGTCGCACCCCCCCCCGCCCCACCTTCCCAGCAGCCTAGCGCGACGCCCCCTCCGCCGCGACCAATTCATTCAGGCGCAGTCGCACCGCCCTCCCCGCCCCCCGCCGCACCGCCCTCACGCGCACACTATCCCGCCCTCCCTTCCCCGGCAGCCCAGCGCGCCGCCCCTTCCGCCGCGACCAATTGGTTTAGGCACCGCCGTACCGCCCCTACCCCCCTCCCCCGCCCCGCCCTCCCCCGCCCCCGGCAGCCCAGCGCACCGCCCCTTCCGCCGCGACCAGCTTGTTTTGGCGGCGTCGCACTGCCCTCCCCCCGCGCCCCCGTCGCGCCCCCCCCGTCGCGCCGCCCTTCCCCCCTCCGCGCCCCCCTCCCTGGCAGCCCAGCGCACCGCTCCTCCGCCGCGACAACTTTCTTTCGGCGTCGCCGCACCGCCTCCTCCCCCGCCCGTCGCGCCGCCCTCGCGCACCCCCTGCCCCGCCCCTTTCCCAGCAGCCCAGCGCGCCGCCCCCTCCGCCGCAACAGTGTTATTTCGGCGTGTTCGTACCGCCCTCCCCCCCTGCCCGTCCCGTCGCACCGCCCCGCCCCTCCGCCTGCCTTGCCGGGCAGCCCAGCGCGCCGCCCCCTCCGCCGCGGAGGAGGAGGAGGAGGAGGAGGAGGAGGAGGAGGAGGAGGAGGAGGAGGAGGAGCAGGAGGAGGAGGGGGAGGAGGAGGAGGAGGAGCAGGAAGAGGAGGAGGAGGAAGAGGAGGAGGAGGAGGAGGAGGAGCTCTGGAGCTCTGGACATAGCGACTAGGTCGGGGTGACAGAATTAAACACTGGATTTCTGCTTCTTGGCTAGCTCGGCTTTGCTGTAAGCCTTAGGCCAAATTCCACGGGACATCCGATCGAGGTATACATTACGATTACCCTCGATTCGGCCAACACACGGCTTTGCTAGTTCTTTAAGCTGCTGAGCTGCATAGAACCCGCACGCTGAACAGAACCAAACTCCCAGTCCCGCGTGATGCCTCAAATTATGACTTGGGTCGGGAAAACCCCCTGCTATATGCACCCGCCGCCCAGGGGGGGGGGTCAAAGAAAGCCCCGTCAACATTAATTAGCTCGAAACAGGGGGAGGTTAGCCAGTCCTTACGCTTCGCTTTGGTGGCCGTGCCTTTACACCTATTGCACTTATTGACATTAGATTCGCATAAGACATGCTGAGACGCAAACATAGCACAGATGGATGGGGCAGGAGGCCTAGGCTGGGCTCGACGGGCAGCTTTCCTACCAAGGCTTTTCTCATGCTCCTGTTCACTGGCCAATGCTTCGATTGTACTCTGCAAAATTCTCATGCGAACCAAGAACGCTTTATTCTCGATCTGATGCACTCTCGCTCTGTTTGCACCCGACACTCTGGCCCTGTCCGCTGCGGTCGAGGCGAAGGCGTCAGCCGCGGTATTACCTGTGACGAGCAGCTTGGGCGCCTTGCCCTGTAGCAGGTCCTGGGCCTCGAGGTGAGAGTGGACGAACAACATTGCGCACTGCAAACTGGGATGTGCGTCGAGATGCCGTCCGATCTTCCACCACAAATCACTGTCGGGTCCAGCTGGGTTGCGATACCTCTGAGTGTACCAGCCGATGATCACGCTCTCGTTGTCGGTCGTGTAGACCACATGCCCCGCGCTGCACCGCAGGGCAAGGTAGAATGAGAGAAGCTCACCTCGTGGAACTGTTTGCCGCACTCCTGGGAGTCCTCCCCACACTCCCAAGAACAGCTCCATGTTCTCTGACAGGTCGTGGTAGCAAGCAAGACCGCAGCCAACTCTCCGTAGCCGCGGGTCCTTGCTCTCTGGGCCGCCACTGGCGTCCCCGAAAACGTATAGTGGCTCCTCCTCCGTGCCCTCCCCGAAGCAGCCGTCGACGTACTCGCCTCCAGTAGTACTCCAGGACTCGTCACTCTGAGGGGACTCCACTGCCAACCATGCTGAAGGTATGAGGCCTCGCGTCCAGAAGCAGGCATCTGCCTCCCCCTGCGCATAGGCTTCCCCCACATACTTCTCGGTGAGACCGTAAATGTCGTGCTGACACTTGCCCTCACAGGCCCAAACACGGTGAAAGGCTGTCTCTCGATGACCACGACATCGGAGGCAATCCAGTGACATCTCCTGTTTGGCTCGCTCCTGCCGTCTCATTCGTGGCCACGTAGCCCCAACAGCAATCGCCAGCATCAGGCCCGCGAGGCGACGACCTCCTGGTGCGCCCTCGAGGTGCTGAAGGAGTCGTCGGTACGAGTGGTTGCAAGCTCCAGCTTCGAGCCCTGCACCTTCGTAATGCTGAGCTGCTCGTTGCCAGAGACCTGCAGACACCGTACGCTCATATTCTTCAAAGAACTCATGGGGCATGTCTATATTGTCAACACCTGTGAGCTGATTGACTCCGAACTGCCAACTGTGCTCGAGCCCGTCGCCACAACTAGGTGTGATCCAACATGTACGAGAAACAGGCCGCCATCCCGCCTGCAGCAGGTAGCATATCACGGCTCCTTGGGGCCCTCGAATGTGCCTGGCACGCTGAGCCTGAGGGACTGCTGACAAATCACGAACCAAGGTAGGCCACGTGCGATTGATGCCGTCGCGGATGCTCGGCTGTCGTGTCCAACAAGCAAGCCATAGCCGCAGGCACTCGCGAGGCATCTTACATGCTGGGTCGCGTCCTGCTGCCTTCAAGTCGATCAGGGTCGTCAGACACCTGCCCGACATCTTGGGGCCGCGAGCGTTGCCTAGCTTCCTGCGACATTGAGTCATGGCGTCTCCGAAAACGCCATGGAGCTGGTGTCCGTATGACCCCGCAGCTTGGGCACCCTGTTGCTCCAGCCTCGAGGTGAGGCCGTAGCGCCGAGTAGCTCGTACGTACTTGATGACGCGCTTGTGCATGGCCGCGTGCTTAGCCTGCCGAGCGGTCCTGCGCGCACGAGCATGCCGAGAACCTCACCCCAGGTCGGCCCCCAAGTACGGCGCCTGGGGAACTGCACGAACCTGAAAACCGTGGGCACGCACTCGCCTGGCAATGATTTTGGCGTCATCCAGCTTCGTGCAGACGACCGCGCTCTTGGGAGAGATGGCCAGCCCCGCTCGCTTCATCGAGCGGCAGGTGTCGACAAGGCACCTCACTAGCTTGTTGCGCATCGTCTCACGAGTGCTCTTGACTGACTGGCTGAGGTCATCCAGCCACAGCCGCTGCGCCATGCCCACGCGCACCGTCGTTAGCCGATGCATGATGTGGTACGTCGCACACTTGGCAAATCTAGTGCCTCCTCGGGGGCCTTGAACAACTGAACGAAGTGGAGCGAATGGCTCCGAATATGTACCATATTGCCTCAAACACCTTGTCGCCATGCACTGCATCAACTCCAGCCCCAGCACCTCGGCTGGGAAGTCAAGCCTCATAGCCGCTCTGCCCACCATCAGCCACCCTATGGTGTCGTAGAACTGGCTGGTATCGAGCAAGCCGTTGCCCAGCTGAACATGAAGCCGAGCTGCGAGCTCTTCATCGATAGCTCGCAAGAAAACTTCTCTCACTGCTGAATTTCCTCTGATGGCTGCGTCCCAATGAGCTTCGCATTCAGAGGTCCACTGCTTCACATATGGTTCCCGTGCCTGCGACCGCGCCCTTGGCAGGTGTGGTAGCAGGCCTATAATTCTGTCTCCTTTCACCTTCTTTGGAAGAAGAGTTCCGATGGTGAGCAAGACTTGGTGTGGCCAGGACTGCGTGGCCTCGCACGCACTGAGTAAGGTCGACAGCTCCTGCAAGGCCTCATCGGGTAAGCGAAGCAAGTCGTTCGAGCTGAGGCGATCCACCCCCATCGCCGCCGATGCCTTGATGGACTTCAAGGCTTCTCGCAAGTCGGTGACTGTCAGCGGGGGCAAGGACTCGTACCTCACCCGTTCACGAATGTCATCAAACAACTGCTCTAAGCCCTCAATCTCGATGCTGGACCCGTTGGCTGATAAGAATGATGGAGCCCAGATCTTCTCCCACTCATGACTCTTGTGATCCAAGACGTCCTTTGGATGTAAAATCGGTTTGCCGTCAACTACAACTTCCTTAACCTCTGGCATCGGTTCCTTTAACTTTTTATGAAGAGTGCCTAACGCTGGTGCCGTCTCGGCCCATTCTCTGAACTCTCCCATGGTCTGTCCAATAGCCCGTCGTTGACTGCGAGCCGCTAGCTTCTCGATGGCCTGGGAGCTGACGTCCAAGGTGGCCAGCGTGCTACTGCGCAGATGACCAAGGAGGTGATGCCAGTAATCCCAAGAGAAGCTGTCTGTGTGTCGAATGATCTCTGCAGCTCTCTCGGGGATGTCCTCCAATAATCGTCGGCCTGAGCCGAAAAGGATATTTAACTGCTTCTCACCTCCTGCACGTCGAAGGTGTCGTGTGATACTGCTAATGACTGTACTGGCACGCGTCCACCAGCTGCAGACTCGGTCTCGTAGTGGCGCTATGCGTGACGGAGTGCCTTGACGAACAGTCGATATTTGAAACTGAGGTGCCACACTGCGGGACGCTCCAGTGAAAGCCCGCTTATGATGAGTGTATATGGAAACCTCGACTGTGCGAATCCAACTGGCGTACAGGGCGCTCAACACAGCCGAATCGCTTGAGCCGAGGTGGTAGGCTATGGTGCCAGCAATGGCAGGAGCGGGAGGGCACGAAGAGACAGGAGTGAACCCGACGCTCGACCTCTGCTCAATCCAAGTGTTGCTGGGAATGTGAAAATCAGGTTGCCACGCTTGCGTATCGGACGGCTCCTCGGAAGACGACCCCTGAGCGGCTGGGTTCGGGGAACTAGGCTCACGCGGGACCGAATTAACTCCCACTGACTGTCCGACTGTGTGACGCGGATCAGGGGCGGCAGAGGGGGGCGGCGCGGCGGGTCTGAAAGCGGTCTCGTCCGCCCACGGGTCGTCCTCCGAGCAGCCCTCCCAGTCGTCGCCTGAGCAGTCGGGTTCACCTCCTTCGCAGAAGTTGGTGTCCGCGTCGCTGAGGGCCGAAAGGGGAGCAAGCGAGGAGGGATCGAGACCACACCCTGAACCGCGATTATCTTCCGCCTCCTTCTCCTCGAGCCCGAGCCCTTGACCAAACCAAGATTTGAAACGCTCGTCCCGAACCTGCTTGGCCTCCAACCTTGAAAACGCCCTCTTGGCTTTGGCCACGCTGGCCTTGGACCCTGGGGTCGCCAAACGGAGGGGCTTGCAGACAAACGGAAGCTGAGCAGGAAGGTCAAGATACCGAGTGTACAATTGTGCACCTTCTGAGACGAGTTCGATGCTGAGACCGATGTGAGGTTTCCATGGCACGGCGACAACTGGCAACACGTGGCGTACATATGCGCGTGCAGCATAGCTCACAATGAGAAAATCAAGATGGCTGGGCGTTTTACCTCCGCCTGGTGTGCATGTGTACTGCGCATCAGAGCACGCGATCTGGCCGCCAACGCGCTCAAGCCATCCCGAACGTATAATACTGTCTGGTGAAAGGTTCCAGTCGGCTGCTACAATCCAGGGAATCTGTAAAGATCGGAGCAGGCAACCAAGCTTCCTGAAACGCACAACATTCGAATCTCGAAATCCGATGCCTGAATGGCCGTAAAAGCTGAAAATGGCCAGGGAGAACCCCCTCATGTGAACGATGCACGGCACGAACCCATCGTACATGTTGCCTCGCTCAGCACGGAGGCCACCTGCAGCTTGAGCTTCAGACGAATATTGAACTGGTCGATGGTTGCGGGCGAGGAGCCACTCTCCTCCTTCGTTGCTATGACTGTCCATCTGCTCGTCTGGCTTGATCCACTTGGGCTTCGGCCGAGCAGCATTGGCGAAAAACTTCAGCGAGGCTTGTCGAGCACGTGAAGACCACTTGCTCAAGCCTTGCTTCCCCACGTGTGTCTCACACACTGCTAGAAGGTCATGGCTGGACGATAAGGCTGATAGGAAGTGCCAGGCCTTGTCGCCCATGCAGGTGACGTTCGAGAAGAACATCCTGGTCGAAGTTGTCGTGCCAGTAGAAACACTGGCTCCCCCTTGCTGCTGATTCGCCTCAGCAGCGTCGGCACTTGCAGAATCTAGTCAAGGGCTGCCGACTCCAGCAGCGCCGCTGCCCCCTGGTGGCTTGGCTGCAGCCTTCGGGGCAGCAGCAGCAGCACCTTTGCCTGCTGCCTTGGCCGCAGCCGCCGCCTGGAAGCGCTCCTGCGACAGCCTCTCGGCCTCGGCCTGGAGCTCCGCCTCCGTCGGCGCCTGCGCGTGGCCCGTGGCCGCGGCCTCGGCAGCACCAGCTGGCTGCGCCCCGCCCGAGGGGCCGCTGCCCGAGGCACCGCTGCCGCCGCCATTGTCGGTGGACTCGCCCTCGTTGGTCTTCCGCTTCTTCTTCATCCTGTCCAGGACGTCGGCCTCGGCCTTGGCGACCTTGTCCAAGAAATTCTTGAGCTCCGCGTCTTTGGACTCGAAACTCTGCTTCCACATCTCCAGCTCTGACTTGAGCTGACGTAGAGCCTGCTTGTCAGACTCCTCGCACTCCCACTCCTCGAACTTGTCGAACACCTCTGGGTTCATCTGAATGCTGATGGTGGGCGTCTGGCCGACGCCATTGCCCTGCTGCGCCACCTCGGGGCCGCGGACCCCCTCCGCCTTGGCCAGGGCGATGGCCGCGTCCTTCTTGGTCCTCTCGGCGAGCGCCAGCTCCTTGGCCGCGCTCTGCTCCTTGGCCTCGGCGGCCTGGAGCTGGGAGCGCAGCCTCAGCACCTGCGACACCAGCTGCTCGTGCCTGTGGCTGGCAGCCCTCCACGCTCCGTCGGCTCGCTTGACCGACTCCGCTGCCGACTCGTGGGAGGCAGCGGGGAGCGTGGCGAGGCGGCTGCGCTGGGCCGCGAGTGCCGTCTTCATCTCCTCATCCTGCGCCGTGCGCAGGGCCTTCTCCAAGAGCTCGTCCAGCTGCGCTGCGGCCTGACCCTTGTTCTTGCGGCCCTGGCCGCGAGAACGATTACTGCCCACACTGCTGTTCTCCCAATCAGACTCGTCCTCGAAGCGCACATGACGAGGCCCATGGGGTTTGAATAGCTTCTTGATCTGGTGACTGCAGCTCGGACATTGCATGCTGTTGGAGCGAAGCTTGTCATTGTACTCGCACTTCTGGCAATTGCCGCAACGTGTCCATGGCCTGGCACGCGGCGGAGTCATCATCCCTGCTTTCGCGAACGCCTGCAAAAGTGTCAGGATTGCAGGCGAACAAACTCAAGCACCACTCTGAGGTACAGGGAAGGACTCGGGAACGGGTGTGCAGTCGGCCCCCAGGCCTCTGACCCGCTGCTCGAGCCCAAGCGGCTTGAGGGAGGAGGAGGAGGAGCAGGATGAGGAGGAGGAGGAGGAGGAGGAAGAGGAGGGTTCTGCCCTGTGGCAGGACCTCGCGCAGCTCATCTACGATCTGCACCACATCTGCCCGGACGCCAAGGTCGGGCCCGGTGCCGAGCCGATCCGCGCCGATTCCGATACGCCTCGACCATTTTTGGTTCTGGTCTTCGGAGAAGGAAAACCGCAACCCTTCCCTCATTTCTACCCTTCTTGGGCCTCTTGGGAGGCCTTCGTCGCCACCGCTGGATTCGCCTTGAAGTTCTGGTCAGAATGCACCCTGGCAAAAGTCTGGGGAGTAGCGGTATCTGTACCTTGTGGTTTCCTCAGGTCGGATCCCATTTATTCTATCTTAAGGAAAGCATGACCTTGCCAGGGTTGCCCTGAGAGGGTTGGCTGGCAGAATTGGCCGGTTTATCGGGGGTTGGCCAGGGGGGTTGGCCAGGCATATCGTTGCAGGGGAGTGGGGAGTTTTGCATCGTCGCGAAGTGTATACGAAGTTTCCCCGTTGGAAGCTACAGTGCCGAATCTATGGCTTGATTCCTCGAAGTCCTGGGCGCTGCCATCTTCCTTCTCCGTCCTCCTTCGGCAGCATCCTATCTTGTCGTCGTCCTCCTTTTGTTGACCCTCCTCATTCTCCTGAAACTGCTGCTCCCTCCTCATCTTTCTCGACTTCTTTCGTCCCTCACTGTTCTTCTTTCGCGACTTGTTCTTTCGCGACTTTCTGCTCCCCAGCTGTGCGTCTGATCCGATGGGGGTGGGCCTGAAGGTCTCCGTGAAGCTGGTGGCCACGGCCGGCATCGGCACCGTCGCCGCGGGCGTGGCGAAGGCCACCGGGGGAATCTTCCAGGTCGTGGCGCCGCAGGGAGAGCACCGCGACGGCAGCTCTTCTTACCCAGAGGTCCCAGCGTGCCATTCTTCCGAGCCGGGCGCCTTCGCCCGGCTTCGGGCCCTGGGGCCAGAGGTCGACCTGGCCTGAAACATGGTGCAGCAGTAGGGGGCCACATGTGAACCCTACCCCTACCCCCCACGATTTCTGAGGGAAAAGGGTGGGGTTCACTCCGTTCGGGAGCTCCCGAGCGAAGTGAACCCCACCCTTCCCCCTCAGAAATCGTGGGGGGTAGGGGTAGGGTTCACATGTGGCCCCCTAAGCAGGCTTGGGTCCTGGGCTGCGGTCGTTTTTTTTCCACGGTGCTGCACGTCTTCGCCGCGTCGGCTCTCAGGGTGCGCGTTCGGCTCCCGGCGGCCGCGCGCAGAAGCAGCGATGCCGACGCTGTTGTCTCCCCAAGCGGCAGGTCGGGGTTGTCAGGTCTGTATCAAGGTTGAGTCGGGCACGTCCCTCTACGGGCGGAACATTCAAAACTAGTACAAACATGACCGGGTGACTATTTTTTGAATATGTTCGAGCATTATTTGTCGATTGTTTTGGCTATTTCTTGTTTTTTCGTCCAAAATCCGCGTCCAGGGGGACATGCCCGACTTCGTAGCAAGGAGCCCCCGACCCGCCGCGCACACCCTGCGCACCGCGGCCGCCGGACCCAGAGCGTGTCGCTTCCCAGGCACCCCGCGCCGCGTCTTCGAGGACCTTTTCGACTGCATACTGCGGACGTGATTGGTGTCGGGCTCCTAATGACATTCGGCGTATTTCTGACATGATTTGGCAGCTGCAGATGGTGCGGTGGTGTGGTCATTGCGTCGGATATCAGTGCGTGCTGTGGGTATTGTGTTCTATCAGTGCATGTGTTGTGTTGACTTGTTCCAGACGTGCTCCATAAAAGGGCTCGTTGCCCGTCCCATAAGGTTGAAGTTATCGTTGGGAGCAAGCAACACTGGCATCGTGCCATACCTGGGACTAATGGGTCGCCAGTCGCATGCTACCGTGAACAGCAAACGGCGTGGGGATTGATGAAGTATCAGTGCATGTGTTGATGTGACTTGCCCCAGACGTGCTCCATAAAGGGCGGGCTCGTCACCCTTCCCACAGGCTTGGAGTTCTCGCTAGGAGCAACACTGACTTCGCCATACCTAGTACTAATTACCTTGGGGTGCCTGTCGCATCCTGCCGCGATTGGTCTTAGTCCCTCGATGACATTCGGCGTACCTCTGACACGTTTTGGCAAATGCAGATGGTGTTTTAGGGGGCCACATGCGAACCCTACCCCTATCCCCCACGATTTCTGAGGGGTGGGGGGTGGGGTTCACTTCGCTCGGGAGCTCCCGAACGAAGCGAACCCCACCCTCCCCTCCCCCTTAGAAATCGTGGGGGGTGGGGGTAGGGTTCGCATGTGGTCCCTTATGTTTGCATTGCGTCGTACCAGTGCGTGCGTTCTTGCGACTTGTCCCAGACGTGCTCCATAAAGGGCTTGTCGCCCTTCCCAGGGGCTTGGAGTTCTCGTTTGGAACAGTATAGACATCGTACCATACCTAGGACTGATTATTTTGGGCCGCCGGTCGTATGCTACCGTGATTGGTGTTAGTCCCTCGATGCAGTTCGGCGCGCCTCTGACATGCTTTGGCAACTGCAGACGAATTTGGTGCTGCGTCGTACAGTGAGCGGCTTGAATAAGGAACACTTACTTTTCAAAAGGGGCTCGGTCGTTCCTTAGGTTTGCATGCGTTATTTACAACTCCTTATGAGTTATTTGTTCTTTATCGTTCCTTATGCGTTATTCCTTGGGATAAAAAAGGGGCTTCGTTCCTTATTCATCGTTCCTTAGGTCAGGCCGATGTATCAGTGTGTGTGTGTGTGTGTTGTTTTGACGTGGTCTGGAAAGGGCTCCATGAAGGGCTCGTTGCCGTGCCCATGGGCGGGAAGTTCTCGTTAGGAGTAACAGGAGGAGGAGGAGGAGGAGGAGGAGGAGGAGGAGGAGGAGGAGGAGGAGGAGGAGGAGGAGGAGGAGGAGGGGGAGGGAGGAGGAGGAGGGAGGAGGAGGAGCAGGAGGAGGAGGAGGAGGGGGGAGGAGGAGGAGTGGGGGAGAGGAGAGAAACATCGTGCAATACCTGGGACAAGTGTCCCTGGGTCGACAGGCGCGTCTTACCGTGATTGGTGTGGGTTCCTCGATGACATTCGGCGTGCCGCTGACACGATCTGGCAAATCCAGATGGTGTGGGCATTGCGTCGTATCAGTGCGTGTGTCGTTTTGACGTGTTCCGGACGGGCTCCACAGAGAGGTCGTCGCCTTTCCGGTTGGATTGGAGTTCCTGTTAGGAGCAAGGCTGACATCGTGCCATACTTAGGACTACCGTGAGTTGTGTTAGTCCCTCGATGACATTCGGCCTGCCTCTTGAATTTTGTCTTCTTTGGAGACCGCAGCTTATCAGTATTCTATGTAGTGACTTGTTCCGGACGGTGGGCTCCCTAAAGGGCTCGTTACATTTACTAATGGGCTTGGAGTTCTCGTTCAGAGCAACACTGACATCGTGCCATACCTCGGACTACCTACCCTGGGGCGCAAGTCGCATGCTACCGTGACTGGAGTTAGTCCCTCGATGACATTCGACCTGCTTCTTGAATTTATGTCTGCGTTGGAGGTCGTGCCGTATCAATACAGATGAACTCCCTTGTTCCAGACGGCTGGCTCCATAGAGTGGTCGTTGCCTTTAACAATGAGCTTGGAGTTCTCGTTCAGAGCAACACTGACATCGTGCCATACCTAGGACTACTTACCCTGGGTCGCCAGTCGCATGCTATTGTCACTGGTGTTAGTCCCTCGATGACATTCGGCCTGCTTCTTGATTTTTGTCCTCTTTGGAGGTCGCGTCGTATCAGTACAGATGTAGTGCCTTGTTCCAGACGGCGGGCTCCCTCAAGGGCTCGTTGTCTTTACCAATGGTCTTGGAGTTCTCGTTACGAGCAACACTGACATCGTGCCATACCTAGGACTAGTTACCCTGGGTCGCCAGTCGCATTCTACCGTGAGTTGTGTTAGTCCCTCGATGACATTCGACCTGCTTCTTGAATTTGGTTCGCTTTGGAGGTCGCGTCGTATCAGTACAGATGTAGTGACATGTTCCGGACGGCGGGCTCCCTCAAGGGCTCGATGCCTTTACCAATGGGCTTGGAGTTCTCGTTAAGAGCACCACTGACATCGCGCCATACCTAGGACTAATTACCCTGGGTCGCCAGTCGCACGCTACCGTGATTGGTGTTAGTCCCTCGATGACATTCGACCTGCTTCTTGAATTTGGTTCGCTTTGGAGGTCGCGTCGTATCAGTACAGATGTAGTGACTTGTTCCGGACGGCGGGATCCGTAAAGGGCTCGTTGCTTTCACCAATGGGCTTGGAGTTCTCGTTAAGAGCAACACTGACATCGTGCCATACCTAGGACTACTTACCCTGGGTCGCCAGTCGCACGCTACCGTGATTGGTGTTAGTCCCTCGATGACATTCGACCTGCTTCTTGAATTTGGTTCGCTTTGGAGGTCGCGTCGTATCAGTGCAGATGTAGTGCCTTGTTCCGGACGGCGGGCTCCCTAAAGGGCTTGTTGCCTTTACCAATGGGCTTGGAGTTCTCGTTGAGAGCAACACTGACATCGTGCCATACCTAGGACTAATTACCCTATGTCGCCAGTCGCATGCCACCGTGATTGGTGTTAGTCCCTCGATGACGTCCGGCCTGCTTCTTGAATTTGGTTCGCTTTGGAGGTCGCGTCGTATCAGCACAGATGTAGTGCCTTGTTCTGGGCGGTGGGCTCCCTAAAGGGCTCGTTTCCTTTACCAATGGGCTTGGAGTTCTCGTTAAGAGCAACACTGACATCGTGCCATACCTAGGACTAATTACCCTGGGTCGCCAGTCGCACGCTACCGTGATTGGTGCTAGTCCCTCGATGACATTCGACCTGCTTCTTGAATTTGGTTCGCTTTGGAGGTCGCGTCGTATCAGTGCAGATGTAGTGCCTTGTTCCGGACGGCGGGCTCCCTAAAGGGCTCGTTGCCTTTACCAATGGGCTTGGAGTTCTCGTTAAGAGCAACACTGACATCGCGCCATACCTAGGACTAATTACCCTGGGTCGCCAGTCGCACGCTACCGTGATTGGTGTTAGTCCCTCGATGACATTCGGCCTGCTTCTTGAATTTTGTCCTCTTTGGAGGTCGCATCGTATCAGCACAGATGTAGTGCCTTGTTCTGGACGGCGGGCTCCGTAAAGGGCTCGTTGCCTTTACCAATGGGCTTGGAGTTATCGTTAAGAGCAACACTGACATCGTGCCATACCTAGGACTAATTACCCTGGGTCGCCAGTCGCACGCTACCGTGATTGGTGTTAGTCCCTCGATGACATTCGACCTGCTTCTTGAATTTGGTTCGCTTTGGAGGTCGCGTCGTATCAGTGCAGATGTAGTGCCTTGTTCCGGACGGCGGGCTCCGTAAAGGGCTCGTTGCTTTTACCAATGGGCTTGGAGTTCTCGTTAAGAGCAACACTGACATCGTGCCATACCTAGGACTAATTACCCTGGGTCGCCAGTCGCACGCTACCGTGATTGGTGTTAGTCCCTCGATGACATTCGACCTGCTTCTTGAATTTGGTTCGCTTTGGAGGTCGCGTCGTATCAGTGCAGATGTAGTGCCTTGTTCGGACGGCGGGCTCCGTAAAGGGCTCGTTGCTTTTACCAATGGGCTTGGAGTTCTCGTTAAGAGCAACACTGACATCGTGCCATACCTAGGACTAATTACCCTGGGTCGCCAGTCGCACGCTACCGTGATTGGTATTAGTCCCTCGATGACATCCGGCCTGCTTTTTGAATTTTGTCCTCTTTGGAGGTCGCGTCGTATCAGCACAGATGTAGTGCTTTGTTCTGGACGGCGGGCTCCCCAAAGGGCTCGTTGCCTTTACCAATGGGCTTGGAGTTC